TATTATTGATAGTTATGTTGATATTTCGTTGTGCTATGGCTTTATTGTAAACTGTTTTTATATGTTGTACACTGCCGTGAGTCGCCCTAGGGCTGACAACGGCGGTCAACAAATGCAGTAAATAAATAAATAATAAAAATACTAGGACTTTTATCTATTTTCATATTCATTATAGTTTCTATTTCTCTAAATACTTTCTCCCAAAAATTATTTACATATTTACATTGCCACCACATGTGTATATATGTTCCTGGTTCTTGACACCCTCTCCAACAATTTATTGAGTTATTTTTATTCATATATGCTATTCTTACCGGTGTCAAGTTCCACTTCCATATTAACTTGTAATAATTTTCTTTAACTCATATTGATAAATTTTTTAAATGTCTTTGTCCCCATAACTGTTGCCACTCTGTTTCACTTATTTTCATCCCTAAATCCTCTTCCCAAATCTCCTTAAGGGTACACTTTTTTATTTTTTCATCCTTCATTTCAATTAGTATCTTATACATTTTGCTAATTATACCTCTCAAGTTTTCATGTTCTTCTACAGCCCTTCCCTTCTGTATTATTTGTTCGAATTGATTGAGTTGGCTTCCATTTCTATTATTTTTTTTTCCAGTTTATTAACCATTGTTCTAATTGTATACAATGAAACCATGACAATTGTATTACTAATGAAGCACAATTGCTGTTGCTTTAAGTATCCGTTTCTCTGGGCATCAGAGAAGAAATAGATATCCTGGAGAGTTCCTAGGCAAAACCAGAGTCATCAGTCTTGCAGGTAAACATAGAGGTTCAAGTGGACTCACATGCAGGGACTCTGCCAATGTCACCAAGTGACTTACTGGTTTTATCTTACAGCCAGGGGCGGCTCGTCCATTATGCGAGGTAAGCGTTCGCAGAACACTTTTTTTGCCAGGGGCGCAGAGGTGCCTCTGTAAATGCCCCTGGACTGCCACTTGAGGAGCGCCCCCTCAGCTCACAACAGCCCTAGCAGTACGGGGGGAGCCTCANGAGCTGGGGGTGGTAACGGCCGACAGGGAGCTCTGGCGTGGGCTGATCCATGAGGTCACGAAGAGTCGGAGATGACTGAACGAGTGAACAACAACAACAACAACCATAATTGTTTATTTAG